CTTGAACTGGCTGACTACAAAGATTGTAAGCAAGCACTAATTATACAGTTCTCTTTGGGTTATGAGAGATTATTGATCTGTGTGTCTGTGCGCACATGTATATGTTGTAAAACTAGACTAACTGCTTATTTGGGTAAATCACTTTGTACATCTCTAACTACAAAAATTTTATGTGGTTTAAATTCTTGCAAACTTTACAAAACCCTTTTGGAATGATATAGAAAGAAGTTGCACTACAATTATGTTTATATTTAAAAGAAGAGGGAATGCTCATGTTTATTAAAAAAACATACATATGCATTGAAGGGAAATGCATTTATCTTGGTATTTTGAAAATGTAAATGTCTAATATTTATTTTTATTGTCTAAAACATTTTAGGAGATGATTAAAAAACTAAAAAAACATTTTAATATATTTTAACTTATTTTAATATAGATAGCAGTTTAGTGTAGCAGTTAAAGACACCAGGATAGAAACCAGGAGTTCTAGTTCTGCTTTAGGCACAAAGCCAGCTGGGTAACTTTCATCCAATCATGCTCTCTCAGCCCTAGGAAGAAGAGGGCAATGGCAAACCACTTCCAAAAATCTTGTGAAGAAAACTGCAGGGAGTCGTCCAGCCAGTCACCAGGAGACAAAACTGACTTGATATCACCAAAAGAAGAAACAAGAACCACCACCTTTAACATAAATTATTTTATTTGGTAACGTGAAGTCAGAAATTATACAAGAGAATATAGAGAGTATTATTAAGAGCAACCATAAACAAAATCCAAAAGATTCTGAGTAAGCAAGGGATGGATATTGAAGTTATATGAGGAGGTACAGATACTAAGGCAAACATACACTGTGTGCACAATTATTAGGCAAGTGAGTATTTTGACCAGATCATCATTTTTATGCATATTTTCCACCTCCAAGCTGTATAAACCTGAATGCTTATTGGATATAAGCATATCAGATGATGTGCATTTGTGTAATGAGGGAGGGTATGGCCTAAAGAGATCAACACCCTATACTGTATCAAGGTGTGCATAATTATAAGGCAGCTTCTTTTCTTCAGGCAAAATGGGCCAAAAAAGAGATTTAACTGACTCTGAAAAATCAAACATTGTAAAAAGTCTTTCAAAGGGATGCAGCACTCTTGAAATTGCTAAGATATTGGGGCGTGACGACAGAACCATCAAATGTTTTTTTGCAAATAGTCAACAGGGTCGCAAGAAATGTTTTGAGAAAAAAATATGCAAATTAACTGCCAAAGACTTGAGAAGAATCAAATGTGAA